CTGGATTTATTGCGCCAAAGCTCCCATTCGAGATGGTGTGACCAAGGTTACAGATATCTAAGCCCAACTGATCGTTGTTAACCGTTAACTGTATCACAGGCCTAATTTTCAAAATCATCATCCGTGGGATTCGACTCTAGACCTGCCGCTTGGGGGTGCAGCAACCCCACCACTTCACTAGGTCGCCACACCCTAATTATATAATTTTTACATAAATTTCAAATAGCTAATATGTATATATAAAATTATATTGGGATACTAATTTAATTAATACTCCACACTGTGTATAATTCACATAAATTATTATAGTAAAGGATGATGGTAAGTATGCTCTACATTATGGCATTATTTGCTAACAGATGCATCTGAATCTTCTTTGTCTTCATCTTGATCATTTTTAGTATTTTCGACTGTATAAATTATGAAGCAATTAAAAAACGTACACCCCAAAAAAAAAATAAATAAAAAAAAATAAAAAATAAAAAAAAATAAGAATAGAAATAAAAATTACCAAAAATGATTGTAATTTCTGCGTAAATATCTCTCATCAAACTTAAGTTTAATGATTTCAGAATTAAACAAGTTATACAAGACAGCTTGTATAATAGCATATTGATTATTAGTAGGTTGTCTACCGAATACTTTTTTAGTGACCATTTGAAGGTAGGTTCTTTTTTCTTCTTCCATTATAGCATCCAAGTTTTTGAAGCACCACCATACTTCATTACTTGATTTCCAGGTCATTATATCGGCTTCAGAACTTTCAGAATTAACAGTTAGAGAAACTTTGTTCTTAAAAACAAGTTTAAACACAACACAACATAACAATCCAAATAACGCCCCACGATATCTGCAAGATTTGGCACTGATTTAATTTAAAGATTTAAATTAACAATTGAATTTACTATTCAAGTTATTTTGAATAATCCAAACTATATAATAATTAATACATATTATGTTGAGCTGTTTTAAATAGCTTGGACGATAATCATACTTACTATATTTTTAATTTCATTAAACAAAGCCTCCCATTTTGAGCTTTTTTTGTATCATTCTATTTTTTCTGAATAGAGGATTTCAAGTTCTTTTCGAATGTTATCTTTATAAACTTTATCATTAGGATAAAGCCAATTGTCTACAGCAATTCTAATACCTTGTGTTGCCTCTTTCTAAATTTTAAATAAAATAGTATAATTTTTTATAGTTTAATAGAATCGATAGTATAAGACAGATTTTCCATTCGTGTTATGGTTAATATTTAGTAAAAAAAAAAAAAAAATTTTCAGGTTATATTAGTTTACTGAAATTTTAAAGTAAAATATTAAAAAAAAAAAAAGTACTTTAAATTTCATACTGATCTAATGTTTCATTTAAATGCCGTCAAGAAAAACTTGTGGCTCTTTTATAATGAAGAATTGCAGGTTTTTCAGAAAAATATATATATAAATAAATAAATTAGAGTTTGATTAGTCTACTAAACCTTTAAAATAAACTATTAAAAAAAGTAATTCAAACTTCATACTGACTTAAAATTTTCATTTGAGTACTTGGTAGTACTTATTTGCTAATAAATAACTCAAATAGAAAATCAGTTCTATACATTAGTATTATAATAAAATATGATACATATATCTGTCACTATTCGCAATCGTTTTCTTTAAATTTTGACTTTATATTTTAATATGAAGATTGTAAGATCTTAATATCATTGGCTAGCTAGATAATTGTAATCTCTAAAACCTCTTGCTTTTCCATAATTGATGTATTTTGTGTTAATAATTGTTTGGATATCTCCAATATTGAATTTACTATTTTGCTTTCTTTACTATAGACTAATTTGATTCAATAGTTAATATTTAATTTGAAAATACAATGAATTTGCATTTCTAATGCTGACCTTCTAAGTTAATAGATAAATTTTCTGAAATATTTGTAAGAATTTCATTAAGTGGGTGTGGCGACCTAGTGAAGTGGTGGGGTTGCTGCACCCCAAGCGGCAGGTCTAGAGTTCGAATCCCACGGACGAC